AGGTAAAAAAAAAAAGCAATTGGTGATGGCCAAACTCCCTTCTAGTCCAGAAAATGCTCCTATAACATTCTTGAATGAAGGTTTTTAGGCCTGTTTGAAGGGCCCTGTTTTCTAAAGCAGCTTAAAAGCAACGTTAGACATCTCTGGCCATCAAAAAGACAGCCTGGTGTAATAAAGAACTTACATTTTAGTCCCAGCTTTGCTACCTAACCTCTCAAACTTTGTACTAGTCATTTCTCCTAAAAGAGTTGGACTAGATTATCTTTAAAGATTATCTCTACTGCTAACATTCTATACTCCTAAAGTTCTTTTTCTCAAAGCTTAATTTGCCTTTTTTCTTTGAACATGTTGTTGTTATTGTTGTTATGTGTCCTTGAGTCCGACACGACTTATAATGACCCCTCCCAACTTATAGTGACCCCACCTTGGGTTTCCGAGGTGGTGTCACGGAAGTAGATTACCCAACCTTCCTTCTGAGGAGTGGCTGGTGGGTTTGAACCACCAGCCTTCTGGTTAGCAGTCAAGTGCCTTAGGCACTACTTTAAATCAAGGAACTAATGACACAGATAACTTCAGCTCTTGAAAGCAAATAAATACAGAGAAAGAAATGTATTCAGAAGAGAGAGCTGGGTTAACAAAACGTATGTGTGATTCAAATCCTATTAAAAAACAACAACAAACCACTGTCGTTGAGTTGGATCTAACTCATAGCAACCCCTCCTTGGGTTTTTGAGGTGGTATTACTACAGAAATTGATTGCTCAACTTTCCTCCCAAGGAGTGACTGGTGGGTTTGAACTGCCAGCCTTCCGGTTAGCAGTCAAATACGTTAGGCACTACGTCACCAGAGCTCCCTCAAATCCTATAGATAGGCTGTATTTCCTGCAAACAGTATTTCACCTAACTCCTGAAAAAGTCCCCAAGAAGCAAATATTTTCCATGCTCAGTGTTTGTGCCAGAATCTCAGAACCTTTGTCCTACAACCAAGAGAGCTGGACCTTAAACTTTGCTCAAGGTATACCAGACACGAAACAAAAGTCATTCTGATTCTCTCTCCCTTATTCCCAAAGTGTTACAAAGTCTAATCACATCCATTGGTCACAAAGTCTAGTAAAGCTGACCTCAGCATATCTACCAAATCTACTTCTCTTTCTGAAACCCCTTCTGGTTTGTCCTTCCAAGGTGGGAGAACAGGGATTGTATCTCCAGCACCTAGCCCAAAGCTTTGCACCGTAGTAGCCCTTATTAAATTCGGAGGAAGTAAAGAAGGAAGGATTGCCTTCACTCCACAGGCTCATGGTTTGTTTAC